TAAAATTAGAAATGCCATGTTGCAAGGCAGCATACCTCCACATTTCCCCCCTTTCCCCCAAAAAAGTTTACTTGGATTCATAGGACCAGGAACAGAAAAGATAATGATAATAAATAAAGATCAATACTGACATGCTGGCAGAGGGCAACTTCACCAATTTTTCTTGTGGTTAAATTATAGGCTTTACAATAGGCACATTCACTATCCTGCAGTAATGCAGCTATTTGAGGAATGGGCAAGGCCTCTTTTATGTTCAAATAACTTAATGTGTCCAGTGTCAAAACCCCAGGATTAAACTATAAATGCTGTGACTTTTGGAGTAAGTCCAGTGAGAAGTTCCTCTGTGGAAGGAAACCACACAAAATAAAACTGTGAACAGCTATCGTACAGCTTCCAGGATCATATCAAGTTTCAAGGTAATTTGATAAAGGGCAACCTAGTGTGTGTGTGTGGGGGGGGGGTCTCTTCACTGGAAAAGACACTCCTGCTCAGAATAGTCAGCAATAAAATGAAATGAGGCCCCCAAAACACATGGTGGCTAGACACCATCAAAGCCAACACCAGCCAGAGCATAAAACACCTGAAAGAAGCCATACAAGATCAGAAAATGTAAAGAGAGCTGGTCTATAGAATAGTTGAGAATCAGACATGATTGAATGGATAACATCATCATCATCATCATCATCATCATCATCGGGGTCTCTAAGGCTTGTTTCTCTCCCCATGCCCGCTTCACTAGTAACCACCCTTAGCATATTTCTGGTGGTAGCATCAGTGTCTGTAGGGCCCTCTATAAAGTGAAATCTGAGAGCAAACCACAGCAGCATCCATGGCTCTTCTGTTGTTTGGCCAGACTGCAGACACCAATCTGAGTGATTGCTGCATGTTCCCCTTCTGACTTGCCAGGATCCAGTAATACAAATAGGACCTTTGCTGTAATGGCTATGCCCCATCACTGAGGGCTAACAAAACCACTGCTTTTCCAAAAAGTATTGAGAAAATTTGCATTTTGTATCTATTTTTCCATCCTGTTGCTTGAACAGGAATTATTTTCCTTTGAAAAAATTACTGTTTTAGTTTGTATGCAAGCCTGTTCCTTTGCTTTCTCCATTCTTCTGCTGTTTGTTTGCTTTACACCTACATGCAAGGGGATTTGGGAATTCTATTAGAAAGCATAAATGTTTCAATAATTTTATTTATCATTATGTGTTTATCACTGATGGGGAAAGGATTTTTTGACTCTAGACCAAGATTACAAATGGCCTGTCTTGAGTAATTTCAGTGGGGGAAGCTACATACTGTTACAATATATTTTTTATATGTAACGAAAAACCATGAGTTTGAATATTTGAATATTGTTTTTTCAAATATTGGTTATTAATATTTTAAAGGTTTTCAGGTATTATAGTATTTACTTAAACTCACAGAAAGGTTATTGTATTTTGTAATTGTCTCTGTACTAAAAGAAGTCAGAGGTCACTTTTAGTATATATTTATTGGGTTTCTTTTGCCACTTTTTAAATTTTCATTTTTATCCCCTCCCCTCCTTTCCCCTTTATGTTAGTTTATATTATATTGTTTCTTTGAAATTTAATAACACTATTTTTAAGCCATGCATTATACACACACACACACACACACACACACACACGTGTGTGTGTGTGTGTTTTGTGAGAAACCCCTTTAAATACCCCTCCTAAATTCTTGGCAGAACTAAGACTTAGGATAAATCTTAGAGGCTAAGACTAACCACTGTTCTGAGCTTTGCTAAGGGAAGATTAGAGAGCGAGACAGAATAATGTTCTTAGCCCACCTAAAATAGCTTTTTCTTAAAGCAGAAAATAAGTAAGAAGAAAGCACACTTTGAGGAGCACACTCTCCTTGTTCAAAGTATCCAAATTTTATTTTTCTCCACCATCTCAGAAGCAAATCTTTTTTTCTTCCCATTACAATATCCATGCTGCTCCCTTATTTTTTCTCTCTTATTCTTGGGTCTTGCCATTGATTGGTTGAGATCTTACCAATCTTAACCAAAGTTGAGAGTTATCTACTTTATTAAATACCCATCCCAAACGTACAGTGATGATTCCTCCAGATGCTTCTCCAGATGTCAGTTCAGAGGAGGATGAACCAGTCCTGGGCACTTCAGGAGGGGAGCTGGTCAGTGGCTCTGAGTAGCCGACTGAGAGTGATTGGTTGAAGCACAGCTGCAGCAGGACAGCCCTGAGGTTTCAGGTGGGGAAAGCATGCAGCCGCAGCTGGTTAGTGATGATGATGAGGAACTGCCTTCTGCACCTGATCTGAGAACATGTAGGGCGGAAAAAAGGCAGGAGCAGCAAAGGTTTGGTCAATTATTTGCGAGGAGGCAGCCTCATCCCTCTTAATGGGCTGCACCAGAAGCTGGCTATTTAGCAGATAGATGGAGATGATGCTAGTAATAAGGTGTATATTTCCTAGCTGTATGTTTCCTGGTTGTTGTGATTCCAGCCTTGGACTGATCCCATGCCTTGAGTTTGGATCATGCCTTGAGAACTCTGGACTTTTCCTGCCTCATGCACTCTCTTGTAGTGTGGATTTAATTTTGCCTATTTATTTATCTGGTTTGGCAACTCTCAAGTGCCTTGTGATTCACTGTTGGTTGCTCTGTGGACTAGCATCAGCCTGCTGGACTTAATTGGGACAGTTCTGGGTTTTTAATGAAGGGAATTGCTGAGTAATATTAATAGACCCACTAACCCACTGTTACTGTGTGTGTAAGTGGGACAGCATGCTTACTTTCCCTGATCCAACTATCATATCTATCTACTTACCTATCTACCTACTCACCTCTCCTTTGCTCTGACACTTCCTGCCCTTTCAAACCTTTCCCTTGTGGAGGGACTGCCAAGCCCACATCATTTCAAAAGAGCCCTCCTTCGTCCCAACCTGTTGCTGCTAGGGCCAGCTCCTCCCCTCCTTTGGCAGGGAAACATGCTGAAATTATTTTCTAATTTGAAAACCAAATCAAAGTGCCTCCATAATCCCTATTTCCCTTGCCCCTCTTTGCATCCTCCTCCCCACCCCCAAGCTGTTGTGTTTCTCAGAGGATGGGCAGCCAGGGATCACAGCTGTCCCCTCCCTAGTTTAATGCTGTTACTAGGTGGTTGTTTGTCCTGCCAGCCCACCCTTCCCCACTAGATTGATTCTTTTTCCCCAGCCACAAGGTGCTTGGATTTGGCTGGTGCTATTCCATCCCAGTCCCATTCTAGTCAGCAAAGTAGAAGGCAATTTTCTGTGTCTATCAGTTCTCATCACTAAAACATAAACAGAACCTCCAAAACATCTGATGCCCTTTTGGTTTGTATATAGGCCATTCTTACCAAATTGAACAATCTCATAGTGTTTTGCACCATCCTGAATCTTAACTAGAAATAGGGAGCAGAATTGGTTTGTCTGCCAAGAGTGCCAAGTAGCCACACTCTAACCTGGCTGGCTGTACAAAAGAGGTAGGTTGGAGATCTCTGTTTGCATACGATCCTAAGGAGATTCCTGATCCATCCGGATCTCCTGGTGCCTTTTTAAACAGCTGTCCAAAAAGTGGGAAGGTGTGCTTTACCCTTTATCTTCTTTGCTCCCCTTTCTCCTAAATTCCCATCCTCTTCCCAGCAATCCAAAGCCCAAGTGAGAAGAGGAATGAAGAAACAATGAGGGTATAGTGAGAACTAATGGCACTTAGGCAAGGACCCTGCCCTAACTAAAGGTGAAATTTCTTTTGAGCCGAGTTTCATTCCTGGTGACTTCAGAGACAAATCCATATCTTGGCAGCATCGTGGAAGTGCCTTCTTCCAAAATGCTTGTCCAAATGTCCAGTCTAACCTACAGCCTTGGGAATCCCCTGGGAGTCCTTATCCAAGTAATAACTGGGGCTGATCATGCTTAATTTTCAAGATATGAAAGTTAGGCTAGGTGCTGCCATCAGCTGAGACCACCACAATTTCTTTAAGCTTCTTGTAGTCAGGAGAGCCTCAGAGCATACACAATTTGGTTATTTTATCACAGCTATAATAGATGCAACAGCAAAATCAGTTCCCCTAGATGAGGTTTGCTAAGTTGGAGAACTTTTCAGAGCTGTGCAGTCTCCAGGCAAAAGATTTCTTTTCTACTTCAAAATCAAGCAATGGGAAATTGTCACTCTTCTTCCTGCCCTGTATTTATAGGCCTGCGTCTTCCGACAGAGGGTGAAGTCATTTCCCTTCCTTAACCTCATTGAACAAAAGGTTCTTGAGAAAAGGAAGCTATTTTGGTCTCTCTGGGATTTATTTATAGGCCCTTTCAGAGCCTGAAAGGGAAAGTGATTCATCTCCCCCCCCCCCAATTTGCCAAGCAGCTTTCTTTCCCCCTCCTCTATCCCCCTCCCCTTTCTCTGGCCTTTATGCCTGGTCGATAATAACATGGTTCCTAACCTTGGTGGTGTGTGATCATCACAGCACCTTTTTGCCTCATTATTGAGGAATGGGTCCCATTGGAGATTAATTCCCTGCCAACTGCCAGCTTGTTAATAAATTACAAGGCCCAGCCTCCTCCCCACAGCATTCACAGAAGCAGTGTGGGAGATGGAGGGAGACTACAGAGCTGGGCGCACAAGAACAGGAGCTGGCTAGTGCCCTGAGGGGGAAAGTCATCTTCTGAAAGGGCAAAGATTGCTATAAGGCAATATAAACAGTGGGAGTGAAGGGGAGCAAGGAGGGGGGGGGCAGGGGCACAGTCACAATGAAAGAAAGGAGCAGCATGTGTTGCTGGCTGTTTCCATATTACTAAGCAAAAAAGGTGTCATTCAGGCTCCCTTCCTGGAGGCCCAAGGAGTCCAGAGCCAACTCTGTTTTTGTAAGTGCTGGGTTTCTACCCCAGGATTTATTATTTCTGTTTTGTCTTCACATCAGCCCCCCCAAGCTGTTCCTTGCATTTCCTCACACTGAGCTTTGGATGCTTTCAAGAGCTAAATGATGAACAATGATCAGTTGTTCGTAGCTGGTCACTGTTTTTCTTTATTAGTTCTATAAATGGCAACTACAGACTGTCAGTTGCAGAAAGAAGTATTGTATTGACAGGTTTTTCTGCTGAAGATTACCTGTCCCAAGTTACCTTTTTTTTAACTAGGGAAAAAAGACCAGTTGGGAACATGTAATGAAACAATGGCCAATGTTCTGCTTTCATTTGATCATCATACATAGTTTAGGAGTTTTTCTTTCACCCCAGTGCATTCCGGAGGACCCTGGAATGTGGCTGTCCCATTGCAAGAGCTTGCCGAGCAGACAGCAGACACGTGTGAACATCCTGGGGTCCCCTCTGTCCAGACATCTGTTGATTCTGGAGAGGATTCTTGGCATGATGTCATTCTCATGTTACAACTGTCAGAAAATAAAGAGAGAATTTCTTTAATCCTTTGGGGTGGAGACAAACTAAAGCCTGTTATTGGCTAATGGTTTAAAAATAGCGGGGCTATTTCTTTAGAAGCTAATTGGAGCTCCTCAGTCACAAATTCAGTTAGTCTTTTCTCTGGTCTTGCTTGTTAGTATAGAACTTCTTCCACAATTTACTGGCATAAGTATTGAGATAACAGATAATTTCATTTTACATGCAATAATGACTTCCCAACCACACCTGTCTAGTGATGGACCTAGTGAGCTGTGTCCTAAAAGAAGAAAAAATTACAATCATTATTCTAATCAACATAAGAAACAATGATTGCTATGTCTGTAAAAAACAAAACAAAACACCAAGACATGTAACAGAGTAATATTCTTATCAGGACTACAAATAATAAATATTTATACATATCAGAAACAGTGCAAAAGTGGTAGACGTTTTGGAGTTTTCTAGAACATTCCATCACATATTACAAAAAAAAGTGATGGAGGGAAAAAGAAGAAAGTCCAAAAATTAAATTCAGCATTTCTGGCATGAAGTCTTGAACTTAAATCAGACTCAAGATGGAGACTGAATAATTAAGTATTCTAGAGACCTGTAGAATGTGCATATTCTTTTATGCCATTTTATTTGTCTTACAAAAACTGTAAATTTGTTAACGTCATTTTTTTCCTCCAAATTCCTCAGCAATACCTATATTGAAAATAGCTTTTAGGAGGAAGTTGGGTGCTACCTCTGGATTATCCACAATTATGCCGGACTCAGCATTAAATTATCCATTAGGAAGTGCAAATATGTTGGAAAAATAGTAGAACCACCATGATATTGTCTAATTGCCCCAAGCCTTTTTATTGAGTTTCTAATAAAGCTGATTGTCCCAGTTTCTTTCATGCAAAAATTATTTTCTTGTATGAAATTCAGCAGAATATTGTGGATTCTTCAAAATACGGTATTTGGAACAAACTTCTTCCTTAAAGGAGATATTTGAAAAAAAGCAGAAAGAGAATCCTGCACAAAGGAAATCAAAGCAGGTGCTGATGAGCCAAGAAATAATTGGAGCAATCTAAATATTTGGGGGTTCAGGTCTTACTGGAATCATATGTACAGAAGTCCTGCCAGTTTCCCCCCTTTTTTCCAGTGGGAAGAAAACCTACTAAGCATGCAAAAAGCTAGGATCCAGGACTCCCGGGCTAGGATGCTTCAGACAGAAAAGACCTTGTGGGCTGAAGATTAGATCAAAGCCAGAGCTCCTGCGTTATGTATCTTCTCAATGTAGGAAGAGAGTTTACTTTAGTTAATAACCTAAGACTTTAGTATTTTCCAGATTCCTGTAGATATAATAGAACCCAGAAATCTGGCATTAGCCCAGCCCCAAATTCTCAGTACTGCTTTGGAGCTGAATGTCCATGCTCAGAATTTATTTATATCAACATGTATATTCCACTTTTTGGCTGCTGCTCTGAACACTCCAGAATTCAAACCAGAAGTTAAGCAGTCACTGATGTTCTGAAAGCATTATCCATGGGGCCACTTTTTGTGCAGAATTGCTGCAGAGTCAGTTGGGTGTAGGAAGTAAAACAAGGAGAGATAGACAAGAAAGGGCACCCCCAGTAGTATCCTTCAGGCTATTACTTAGGTCTTATGTCCCCCTTCCCTTAACTGATTCGCATAAGTCCCCTGTTGAGAGAGTTTTGTAGATGAGCATAACTAAAATGAGGATGACCATGTGTAGTAGGCAAATCCTTTGTCTTCTGTGGAAGCTTACAAATGAGCCATTTGAGACACTTTCCTGCTTCCCCCCCTCCATGAAAGAGGTTAGGTGGTCTTTCTAATATAGAAACAGACAATAACAGATGCTGATATAATTTGAGATCTCATAAGAGTGGCATTGTTTCTTTGCTCAACATCCCCCAATTATGTTTTACTACAACTCCCATTACCTTTAGCCAGATGAATTGTCCTCTGAAAGGTGCAGCATATCCTGACTTCTGCCAGAAACCAAAGAAGCTTAGGGACATTGGGAAGTTGTACCTTGGTTCTCTCGGGAACAAGACCAGGCAAGAGGGACATCAAACCGATGTTCAGAGAAAGAAAAATTATGAGAGGTGTAATGTATTGATGTGAATTACTTGGAAATGTTGAAAAAATTATCATAAGACTCTGTCAGTTAAGAGCCAGACTGTCTGTCTACATGCTAATTAACTTGTGTTAAAGCGGGAACTAATACTTGAATTCTATTGGCTGTCACATAGTTGCTGTATAAATAGGACGCTGATCCTGGCACTTCTGCTGAGCCCAGAAGAAGCGCCGATCAGCTGGAATGTTGCAGCATCTCCAGGGTCTTGTGATTTACATTCAGATGCTTGGCAGCTGATTCATATTTATGACAGTCACAGTGTCCCAGAGTCATATGAAGTGACCAAAACTTGCTGCAACCACCCAGCAGATGGGGGGAATAAAAACCAAACATCCCCCAGCCCACCCCTGCTGCCAATCCTCAACAGAAATGCTCACAACAATGAAAACCTCGGACAGGAGGAAGAGCGCGGCTGGGTGGGCAGGCAGGTGTCTTGCTCGGCTGTGGTTTGAGGGGCACTTTTTCAGTGCCTTTGTAACTTCAAACAGTCACTAAGCGAACTGTTGTAAGTTGAGGACTACCTGTACTTCATCACTTTTTTTCCTTTTTTTTTTTGGGTCAAGTTTTTGACACCTTGCTAGGCGACTGGTGGTACTCGGATGTTGCCATATCCTAAAAGTGGTACAATGGGTGAAAAGGTTGAAAAGCCCTAATCTAGGGGGAAGGGGTGTAATGTATTGATGTGAATTACTTGGAAATGTTGAAAAAATGGTCATATGACTCTGTTAGTTAAGAGCCAGACTTTCTGTCTATATGCTAATTAACTTGTGTTAAAGCGGGAACTAATATTTGAATCCTATTGGCTGCCACCTAGTTGCTGAGTGCATAAATAGGGGTGGAGTGGCAGTTATCCAGGCTTCTGTTTAAACTGTTAATAAAGAGTTGTTGTTCACCTGCTGCCTTGTGAATGCCTCACTGAGCACCAAACATAACAATAGGATCACTTCTCCTTCCCTGCCAGGAAGATTCTAACTTCTTATAGCCCCAGGACTGCAGAAGTAAACATGTTTGGGGTTCATCTAAAGGAATGGGAGCCACCAATTGCTTTCCAGCAAATGAAAATTGGCCCAAGCTGACTGGCTATGTCCATTTATGCTTGATATTCTCTTCTAGTCTTCAGGTCCTGTTGCTTCTGTTTCTTCCTCTTCTTGACTTCTAGAATTGTCTTTTCCTTTTTGTTGCTCTGACTTTGAAAGGCAGTTAAAAAGCAAGATTAAAAAAACTGAACAGAATTGAAAATAAAGAGATAATCTTGGACCAGTCTGGCAAATCGTCTTTGCTAGTAGAAGCAACTTTGTATGACAAGCCTACTATGAAATTCTGGGACAAATGGACAATCTTTCCTGCATCTTTACAATTTGTGGAGCTGGCAATTCTTTCAGTACAATAAGATTATTTGGATAATTAAGGAATAAGAATTTAATTTAAATATTTTGTTTGTCATGAATTACCTACCTTGATTTTTACTAGGCTGATTAACAGGACATCTTGAAAGAGTCCAAACACTGTACAATTAAAGAGGGGTTCTTTCTTGGGCTTAGAACAGTAAATGATAGGAAAAATAACTAGACATAGTATTGAACATAACATTTCCAAAATGTCCCATGACTGCCTCAGACTTTGGAAGAAACATCTTGGTTTGCCAAGACCAGCACTTAGTTCTAGCCCCTCAGTGCTTTGATGGAAAAATCAGTAGATGGGAGCACAGATACAGTAGCATGCCTGGCTGGATGTCCTGAGTGGCAAAAGATGGTACAAGGAGCATTTCTAGACTGTCTTGCCATTGCCATTTCAGTTCTTCAGTCCTCTGAATTCAGCCAACCAGCCAGTCATCTGGAGGTTGAACATTCCTGGAAATATACAGTATTTGTTTGACCCACAACATCTTTAAAAAACCATAGCAATTGAAAGGTGTTTATTGTGTGTCAAAACCTGGAAATCTCGATCCCTCAATTCTGTTCATCTTAATTTTTTTTAGAACCTCCATTATAATCAGAACTGTGAGTGAGGAGTGAGGAAGATAATTGAAAGACTTCTTTTAGCTGTAATCTCTTGGCACTCCGAAATACATACGCACATAGTAGAAAATGCAATAACCATGTTCCTGCTTTCTTTCAGGGTCCTTCCCAGCTTTTCCTGGAATTTTTAAAACATAACTATTTCTAACACTTTCTTGTGATTGAAATGTGTCACCATATGCTTTTTTATGCTTGTGGTAAGGTACAGAGGTGTAAGTAGGACACTCTTGGTACTGAGTCCCCCATCCCTGTCACTCAAAATTCCTTGTTATATGTCATTTCCTGGAATTCTTGTTCCAACACTTCTTTGCCTGAATACTGTACAAACACTGTTGTGTTTGAGGTGCTACCTCCCAGAGCAGAAGACAGAGTATGGAAGTGGGAAGTTAAGAGTAGAAGTGATAGAATGCCGGGGGGGGGGGGGGTGAGAGAGGAGGAGAAAAAAAGAAGGCTCTGCACCAGAAAGGATTTGGGTGGTCCTCTTTTTTTCCTCGAACTAAAATTGGAAGCTAAAAACAAAACTAGAATAGGACAAAATAAATAAACAAGCAAAAGTACTAAAGCATATTTAAGAATGTTTCCAAAAAACAGAGGCAGAAGCTCCTGACTTCCTTCCACTCAGCTTTTCTTCTACAACATCTTTTGGCAGTAGAGAGATACAGAATCTCAAAACTCTGTACTAACTTCCAGTGATTGCCCAGATTCTGGAACCTACATATTATAAATCTATTCAAAGTGACCATGTTTATTGAAAACATGATTTTAAAAGTGGTGGCAAGTAAGTGCCTCGTAGATGGCTTCCTACCAGAAAGTCTGCCTTCACTTTGATTAATCCACTAGTAAAGCATCAAGAGGTCAATACATTTCTTCTTTCCCAAACAAAAGTTCTGCTAAACTGAAGAAAGAGATTGGGTAGTCCTACTGGATCAGCGATGACTATGGTATAGGCATCCCTAATAAGTCAATCCCAAAATAATTCTAACTGGCAAATTCCCTCCTTTTTCCACCTTGTTTCATTAAGAATGTCAGGTCACTTACAACCGATTCAGCTTTGGGGATCGTATGTTCTCATATTTAGAAGGCAGAACTTAGTGTTTTAAGGTATACTATAAGTTTCACAAATTGGAATAAATCAGCCTACTAATTGTCATTGTGGAATATTGAAAGCCAGGGGTAAACTGCAACCCCAAAGGCAGTAGTAAAGGAAAAAGTGACTTGTACTTTAGCAATATCTGGAAGGTGATCAATTCCCTATTATCCCACATTCCTTTCAAATGTATTAGCCAATGGCCAGACTGTTTAGAGTTTATAGGAATTATATTCCAACCCCTGCAGCATACCAGGATTAGAAGACTGCATCATTCAATAAATAAAACACTTTTGACAGTGCAATAATGTCATCTGGAGCTGAATGTATTTCTGCTGAACCTTATGAAAGAATTCCTTTCATGCCATGAAGATTCTCCAAAATATGAAGTTTAGTTTGGGGGAAATATAGCAGAAACATATCTCACCAATTTTCCTTTCATCTTAAAATGTTGATCAGTGCACCTATTCACTGAAATAAGAATTGTTTATTATGATATTGGAGACAGTAAAGCAAAGTGAAAGGGTAGAGAAGCAGCCCCTCTATAAATAATTATGCAAGTTATGCGGACTATTTACCTATGGTTTTGTTGGCTATACTAGCACATCGTGTTCAATGAGATTTGAAGGTAGATCTACAAAAACAAATGATTTATTGAGAAAACGAAAACTGCTTTATAAATGTGGTTTCTTTCTAGAGAGTTATTGTATGGGTTTATCTGGACTCGCCTATGCTCATCTCCTAGCATTTCTCCCAGCTTTATCAATATTCTGTAACCTTCTCAAAGTTTTATGATTAAGCTGACAAGTTTATTGTTTCTCAAGTCCCAGCAATTAGGGAAGGGGTGTTTTGCTAGTCCTAACCACCAACACAGTATTCTTCTAAACATAGTCCTTATGTTTGGAATTGGGATTGCTGTGACTTAGTGGTGCAGTCAGAAAGCATAACATTATGTGACTGCATCACTAAGTGACAACAATCCTAGCAGTCCCAGTTGATGTCCTAACCCCAAGCCACATGAATATTAAGCAGGAAGCAGTGGGAGTCCCAGGTAAGGAGTGTAGAAGTGCTACAGGGAGATGGGGTGAACTGCTGCAAGGGATTGCGAGAGGGGCCACTGTGCAGGCCATGTGCAAACTTGAGAGGCTATGACTTACTGCAGCATGATGCACATGAAGGATGGCACAGCAGAGTGTGTGTGCAAGAAGGCCAAGATGGATGGGGAGGTAGAGTAGGGTAACACACCAGTGCAGTAAAACAAGGGGACTTAGCAGAGTGACTTGCAACTTCCTTGTCAGCTTATTTAGCACTATCACAATTTTGAACAGTCACTGAATAAGTGGTCAGTAAGCTAGGCTACCTATACAGAGAACTGTTTTCCAAGTACCCCTACTATGAGCCGCATTAAATGAACAATACAATGCTCATATATTCCATTATAAATAGATCTCTCTCTTTCTTTCTCACTCACACACACACACAAACACACACACACACAGGTTCTTCAAAGCCTACTTTTATGTTAAACACAAATCATATTAAGGAAATCCTTTATTTAGCTAAGATTTACAATAATATCTAAGCTTTTGTGTTCCATCAGGCAAGATAGATAACTCAAAAGCTTCACACTATTTTGCAAACATTATTTACTTCATATGTAGCATAATTATTTTTGCTTTTCTTTCTTAGAATAAAATACAGCTTTTCATAGTAGTGCCACACATGTACAACCTCAGATGAATGGAATTCATACATCAGAAAGCTTGTGAAGATGTGGAGAACTATGTCTTAACTGCTGCCCTCCCTCATGTCTTCTGTAAATTGACCTGACCAGATGTCCTTATGTCAGATGTATGTCCAAATGATGCTGTCTCTGCCCTCTCATGAAGCCTGGAGGCTGTGGGAATATCAGTGGGGGTCCACAGACTTAGACTGAACCCTGGCAAGACTGAGTGCTTTGAGAGCATGGAGCCTCAAGATCCATGTTTTTGTCATCCTTAGTTCTGGATGGGGTTGCATTACCCTGTTTAGATCCAGCTTACAACTTGGGGCTTAGAACACAGAACACAGAATAATAGAGTTGGAAGGCACCTTAAAGCTCTTCTAGTCCAACCCCCTGCTCAATCAGGAGATCCTATACCAGTGATGGCAAACCTTTTAGAGACCGAGTGCCCAAACTGCAACCCAAAACCCATTTATGCATCATCGGGTGCCGGGTGGGTGTGGCCCATTGGTTGGGTGTGGCCCACATGGAAGGCATGGCTGCGGTGGTAACGGCAGACTGGGTGGGACTAAAAAGTTCAATCAATTCCAACTTTGCAAGATCTTTCTTTTCCCCGCGAGTTGAAATTGACTGATTGATTGAACCTTTTTTTTTGTACACGGCGGCAGAGGCCTAAAGCGAAAAGGTTTTATAAAACCCAGCTGAAGGCCTAGGACTGGTGTGACGGCATGCGTGCCCACAGAGAGGGCTCTGAGTGCCACCTCTGGCACCCATGCCATAGGTTCGTCACCACTATCCTATACCATTTCAGACAAATAGTTGTCCAGGTTTTTTTGAAGGCCACCAGTGATGGAGTACCTACAACTTCTGAAGGCAAGCTATTCCATTGGTTGATTGCTCTCACCATTAGGAATTTTCTCCTTAGTTCTAAGGTTGCTTCTTTCCTTGGTTAGTTTTCATCCATTGTTTCTTGTCTTGCCTTTTGGTGCTTTAGAAAAGCAGCAGCCTCTCAAATATTGGAACACTGCTATCATGTCTCCCCTAGTCCTTCTTTTCACCAGACTAGACATACTCAATTCCTGTAACTGTCCTTTGTATGTTTTGGCCTCTTGCCCCCTAATCATTTTTGTTGCTCTTCTCTGCATTCTTTCCAGTGTCTCAACATCTTTTTTATATTGTGGTGACCGGAACTGGATGCAGTGTTCCAAGTGTGGTCTTACTAAGGCTTTGTAAAGCAGTACTAGAGCTTCATGTGATTTTGATTCTATCCCTCTATGAATGCAGCCTAGGACTGCATAGGTTCTCCTAGACTCATGTCTCCTGCTCAAAGAGCAAATGGCAGGTGTGACTAAGAGTGCTTTTGCACAGCTCTGTTTTTTTTTTAATCTTGACTCCCTGTGCTCAGTTACTCAAGCCCTGGTCATCTCTCACCTGGACTACTGCAATACACTCTACATGGGGCTGCTTTTGAAGTCCATTTAGAAACTTCAGCTGGTGCAAAGTGAGGCAGCAAAAGCAGTCTTTGGGGCCCCTTGGATGGCCCATATTACACCTCTGTTCTGCAAATTTCACTGGCTACCAGTCTGCACCTGAGTGCAGTTCAGGGTGTTGGCTATGACCCTCTTGACTAAAGCTGCAGCACCTGCCCTTTTGAACATCTTACCATCTAAGGCAGGCATGTCAAACTGCCGGCCCCCAGGCCAGATGCGTCATGATGAAACCGCGCCTACCCATTGCCGGCAATGGGGAAAAAGTTGCGATACGTCATGCGACATCACATGACATCATGTGTTTGACATGCCTGATCTAAGGTAAGATCTGTCCTCCCCCCCCCCATTCTTCTGTAAGAGCCTGAAGATCTGGCTCTGCTGATTGGCCTGGATACCAAATGGGGGAGTTCCACACTGGAGGTAGCTGCTAGATTAATGGCAGGCTCTACCTTTCCCCCTTGCTCTCTGCTCTCCACTCATCCATCTTTTTGGTTTCATATTGATGTCAAGCTTGAAGCTTGCTTTGCTGGTGCAACAATTATTGTTTCTTAGCTTGCCAACGAACTTGGGGGGGGGGAGGATTGGGGAAATGGAATGCAGGCTACATAGATAAAGAATACAGACTGTGAGAATCAAGGACAATTCACCAGGTGTCTGACCCGACTCAAAGACATTTTCTTGTAACAATATAATTGCATCTAATGGGGCAATGTGACCTGTTCATGAATAGAAGGGGGAATTCTATAGTTTAACTAGCCAGAGCTGGCTTTGTTTTCATATGTGCCGAAATGATGCACTCAATAATGTTTTACATTAAGAGATTGGAATGTTTCGAAGGTGTTTGTTTGGTTGGGTTTGTCAGTCGGAACCTTGATATTTGATGTATTATTCTTTGTCATAGTTTATTTTATTGTTCTATTATATTACTTTTGTTCTGTTTGTATTCTTTTCCTTTTCTTCTTTTTTAATATTGTAAGATGCCTAGAGTAGCCCCATGACGAGATAGTCAGCAATTAAATTTAATAAATAAATAAACATTTATTTAAGACACTTGCCTTTTAGTTACAGTGACTGTCACAGACAATATTTAGCCCTCCATCAACTTCTGAGTCCCAGACTGCTCCCCAGGTCCATGTTTTCTCTCCTCACCTTGAATTCAGAATAATACAATTTAGGATAGAAATCAACCTTGAAAAATCAACCAAACATCCCCCAGCCCACCCCTGCTGCCAATCCTCAACAGAAATGCTCACAACAATGAAAACCTCGGACAGGAGGAAGAGCGCGGCCGGGTGGGCAGGCAGGTGTCTTGCTCGGCTGTGGTTTGGGGGGCACTTTTTCAGTGCCATTGTTACTTCAAACAGTCACTAAGTGAACTGTTGTAAGTTGAGGAATACTCATCACTTTTTTCCCTTTTTTTTTGGTCATCAAGTTTTTGACACCTTGCTAGGCGACTGGTGGTACTCGGATGTTGCCATATCCTAAAAGTGGTACAATGGGTGAAAAGGTTGAAAAGCCCTAATTTAGGAGGAAGGGGTGTAATGTATTGATGTGAATTACTTGGAAATGTTGAAAAAATGGTCATAAGACTGTCAGTTAAGAGCCAGACTTTCTGTCTATATGCTAATTAACTTGTGTTAAAGCGGGAACTAATACTTGAATCCTATTGGCCGCCACCTAGTTGCTGAGTGTATAAATAGGGGTGGAGCGGCAGTTATCCAGGCTTCTGTTTAAACTGTTAATAAAGAGTTGTTGTTCACCTGCTGCCTCGTGAATGCCTCACTGAGCACCAAACATAACAATAGGATCACTTCTCCTTCCCTGCCAGGAAGATTCTAACTTCTTATAGCCCCAGGACTGCAGAAGTAAACATATTTGGGGTTCATCTAAAGGAATGGGAGCCACCAATTGCTTTCCAGCAAATGAAAATTGGCCCAAGCTGACTGGCTATGTCCATTTATGCTTGATATTCTCTTCTGGTCTTCAGGTCCTGTTGCTTCTGTTTCTTCCTCTTCTTGACTGTTCTAGACCATCTTCATTAAGCAGGTCTCACTTTCAGTGTCTTCTTACAAGATGTAACATTCAAGTCCAGCTGCAGCTTAAATGGATTTAGTGACATACATTTTAATTTACTGATTTGAAAAGTTGATAATCTTTTACAAGCTTTTGTTTCAATCCAGCTTTCTAAATAAATGGGTTTACCTCAACTGCCCATAATAGTACTGCAGGTTTCTACTAGATACATTTTGGTAGCAGGTCCATTACCCTGATCAGCCCTGAAGCAATACCTGATCTTTAGCTTGGCTTTTGAGCAAATGGCTGACAGGCATTCAATTGTGGTGGGGTGGCTATTGAATGAACACTCTTTGAAGCTATGTTGAAATAGTATTGATATAATGAGAGAAAAACTGCAGGCTTATGAA